ATGTCAAAACACAAACCAAGTATAAAGACAAAGGAGCTGTCTGTAGACCTCAGAGACAGGATTGTTTCGAGGCACAAGGACGGGGAAGGTTACAGAAAAAAATCTGCTGCTCTGAAAGTTCCAATGAGCACAGTGGCCTCCATCATCCGTAAGTGGAAGATGTTTGGAACCACCAGGACTCTTCCTAAAGCTGGCCGGCCATCTTTAGTGATCAGGGGAGAAGGGCCTTAGTCAGGGAGGTGATCAATAACCTGATGGTCACTCTGTCTGAGCTCCAGCATTCTTCTGTGGAGAGAGGAGAACCTTACAGAAGGACAACAATCTGTGCAGCAATCCACCAATCAGGCCTGTATGGTAGAGTGGCCAGACGGTAGCCACTGCCCTCCTGGAATTTGCCAAAAGGCATCTGAAGGACTCTCAAACAATAGGAAACAAAATTCTCTGGTCCAATAAGAATACAATTGAACTCTTCGAAGTGAATGCCAAGCGTTACGTTAGGAGAAAACCAGGCACCGCTCATCACCAGGCTAATACCATCCATGAAGCATGGTGGTGGCAGCATCATGTGGGAATGTTTTTCAACAGCAGGAACTGGAAGACTAGTCTGGATAGAGGGAAAGATGAATGCAACGATGTACAGAGAAATCCTTAATGAAAACCTGCTCCAAAGTACTCTTGACCTCAGACTGGTGAGACGGTTAATCTTCTAGCAGAACAATGACACAAAGCACACCGCCAAATATCAATGGAGTGGCTTCACAACAACTCATTAATGTCCTTGAGCGGCCCAGCCAGAGCCCAGACCCAAATCTTATTGAACATCTCTAGAGAGATCTGAAAATGGCTGTATACACTATCGTTTCCTACCCAACCAAATAGAGCTTGAGAGGTACTGCAAAGAGAAATGGGCAAAAATTCCCAAAGACAGGTGTGCCAAGCTTGTGGCATCATATTCAAAAAGACTCGAGGCTGCAATTGCTGCCAAAGGTGCATCAACAAAGTATTGAGCAAAGGCTGTGAATACTAAATTTGCAACAATTTCAAAAAATCTTTTTTCACATTGTCATTATGGGGTATTGTGTGTAGAATTTTGAGAACATAAATTAATTTGATACATTTTGAAATAAGCCTGTAACATAAAGAAATGTGAAAAAAGTAAAGCGCTATGGATACTTTCCAGATGCACTGTATCTTGACACCTCTATTTTTAATAGTGTATTTTGTAAAATGTACATTTGAATTCGGTTGACTTATAGATCAGATCTACTCGGAAGTCAATTTCTGGCTCAAGCGTTTGGTGCTGCAGTTTATTCTTTGCAGATATCTTCTTTCATCATTTTGGTAGTGGCACAGTCCTTACACACAATCTAATAGAGAACCGAGCGCTGAACTTCACATTAACAGTCTCTCAGAGACTCACCGTGTTAAAGTGCACACTGCACTCCTATAAGCAAGCAGTCATTTAGCAGGCGCTTGAATCCAGAATGACTTTCAGCTTATTTATTACAGGGAAAATCCCCCTGGAGCAACCAGGGGTTAAATGCCTTCCTCACAGGCACAGTGGAGATAGTTCTCCTTCTTTACTCAAGGGAGGCCTGCAACTTTCCGACTACACACCAACAAGATGTTACAATTAAGAAGCCACAACATGCTCCTTCATTACCCTTTTCAACTTTTATCAATGTCTCAACATTCTGCGTTCTAATCAGCTCATCTCGGCATAAGTGTGCTCGCTTTAACGCATCTCTCATACACATGACTGCACATTCATAAGAGACAGCTGAATGCGCATGCAAGCACAAGCACCCTTACGTCGATGCGTACACTTGAGCACACATGTAGTGTACATTTATGCATGACAGCATCCACACATCTCGATTCCAGTCATCTAAATGCTGCTCATTTTGACAGTAATGTCTCAGAATTAGTCGGCATAACAACAATATCTATATGTCTGTGGATTTCTGCATTCCCGTGCCCTCTTAGACATACGTCTGAATTTCTCCATTGACCCTTTCTCTGTTTCTTGGGCATTTACTGTACAAGAGCAATGGGGTCAAAAATCTGCCTGTCACCATGGCAATAAACCGGTCCATTCATGCGAGCAGCTTGTCATCTCCATAGTAATGATCTGACCCTGACAGATTACTCTGCCTTAAATTCACACTCGCACAGGCAGTTATATGGCCGCATACTTCTAATATGCTGAGCCAGGGGAAATTTCTCTGCATCGCTCTTATCTTGGCTCACACACATTCCTATCGCTTAGCGGCAATATTTTTTTGCCCTCATTTTCTATTGGTGACATGGTTTGAATTCAAGACATTTTGTTTGTTAAAACACAATTTGCTGTACGACACGTTGCTTTATAAATCAGAGAAAGGGACTGTAAATCTTGCTGTTTTATTATTACTTGTGGGAGAGTTTAAGAGATTCAGTGGCATAACACACTATTTAATGCAAAAACAAATCATAATGTGAACCATACAGCTATGCTTATAGTTGATCAAATATACTGTGGCATATTCGTAATACTTTCGGAAGCACTTTCATCATTAATAAGTGCATTTTCATTTGAGTCAAAACTGGATTTTCACATTGTCCTTCACATATTTTTGATTTAGTGCCCTAGAAATTCCTTAATTCATTTTCCTTCGACCTAGTTCCTTCATTTATCAGGGGTCGCCACAGCGGAATGACCCGACAACTTATCCAGCATGTGTTTTACACAGCGAATGCCCTTCCAGCTGCAACCCAGTACTGGCTCTAGAAATATTTTGCACAATTATCAGTCTAAAAAGTGCCATTTATTCACATCTTGCAGCTGACATCAGAACAGCAAAAGCCGTGCCTAATTCAGCAATGTCTAGTTAGAGCTAGTGTTTGAATGATTCTGTAGCGTAATGTCTAAAGAGATGACAAAACATGTGATTTTGCTACCATTTTAAGATGACAAGGCTGAACGGCATGAAATGCCATCAGTCGAGAGACATTTCCTAGTATTTCTCTGTTGCAATCGGGAGTCACAATAATTAACCTATAAAAGGCCAAAGCAGCACAAACACTAGATTACTGTTGTCTTTGCAATAAGGAAAAACGCTAAACACATGTGGGCATTTCTTCTTTCTGTCTTTTTACTGAACAAGTCTGCAGTAACGAAAACAGGAGATTCATTGGAAACAAACAATGGCCAACCAAAAAGTTGTGGCCAACTCAGGGTTCTACAAAGATATGTGACTGTGTGTCTCATCTTACACTCAATACACTACAATTACTATGGTTTAAATACAGCACTACAGCAAACAAAAGATAGCTAGATTGGTTTAAAATGTCATTTACTAGTTTTATAATGATTTGATCAGCTGTAGTTAGAAATTATAAGTTTTTCTCTTCTAAGGGCTCATTATGCGGCCTCTGTCACCATCTTTTGGAAGGACATCGTCAACCATCTTTGCTTTGCTCAATGACAGGATGATGGCTGCTGACGCTCTGTATCTCAGAAATTATAAATATTTAAAATAGACACTATCCTTATAAATAAACTGCATAGTTGCAATCTAAACAACTACATTCTTGACTAAAAGCCTCAAAAGTACATTATGTTGTACAACAGCAGCAATATTTGTCAAACTGTCGTGAGTCTATTGATCTGCTGTTACTCTATGAGGGTAGAGTAATACACAGGAGTGCAGGGGCTGTACCAGTTCTGATATTGCAGAATATTGCACAGGTTGTATACAGTATTTTAAACTGAAAGCTGTAGTGACATTCATTTATTTTATTAATTTATGCTTGAAATAAAACGATTACTCTCTGAAGTATAACCTTATCACAAAATTGTAAATGTCAGTGTATAAAAGCACTGCATATTATGAATATAAAAACTATACAAATATGTAAAGATCAAGTAAAAAAAAAAGACACAATATTTTTGTAGCCTGTAGACTAGAGTATAATATTAGTCATGTAAAAAAACTATTTAATACATGTCCTTATGATTTTTCACTGAAAATGTCAAAAGAAGGGTGACGCAGTGGGTAGCGGTCTCGCCTCACAGCAAGAAGGTTGCTGGTTTGAGCCCCGGCCGGGTCAGTTGGCCTTTCTGTGTGGTGTTTGCATGTTCTCACCTTGTTTGCGCGAGTTTCCTCCAGTTTTCCCCACAAGTCCAGACATGCAGTAGATTTGTCTGTAGTGTATGTGTGTGAATGAAAATGTGTGGATGTTCCCCAGTGATGGGTTGCAGCTGGAAGAGCATCCACTGTGTAAAACATATGCTAGTAAGTTGTCGGTTCATTCCACTATGGCGACCCCAGATTAATAAAGGGACTAAGCTGAAAAGAAAATGAATGAATGAATGTCAAAAGAAAATGGATTATGGTTTAGTGCTGTGTGTTTGCTTGTGTGTGTGTGTGTGTGTGTGTGTGTGAGAGAGAGAGAGAGAGAGAGAGAGAGGGGTTTATCAGAAATATGTACAATTCACAGTCTAAATAATATAATCATTAATATAAACACATTCATAAAAATTTACAAAATTTAAAAAACAAGCTTATCATCTTTATTTGCACACCATATTTACCAAATAAATAAATAAATAAATTATGTGCCAACTTATAAAAATCAATCTGTAACCTTGCTATTAACCACTCCAGACTTTCTTTCTTGCTGGTTTGTGCTGTCCAATTGTTAACCTTTATTTTTTCGTGTTTCCAAAGCCAGTTTAGCTGATCATGTGAGAGAGAGGGGGAGAGAGGATGCAGTAGGAAAGCAAGATGAAATCAGTTAACTCTGTCATTTGTCAACACAGTGATTGGCTGCACAAAGAGCGAGAGAGAGAATAAACGCAAGAGAAGCATGCCAGAACAGACAGAAAAAAAAAGTCTATTAAAAACAATTTACCATTTAATGTCAATATCTGAATATTCAAGATCTTAAAATAATGTCAATATCCCAATATCAATATCTCAAGCTTTTACATTGACGTGAATAGAGAAGCGTCTGTTCTGAAGTCACTCCCCCTCGTCACGTCCGAGTCGCGCTTCATAGCAGCTGTGCACGTGACGAGGAAGCGAGAAACCGTTCTCAGGTCGGTAAGCAAGCAGTACACGATCACATTCTGTTAGTATCTTGACAATAACGTGCTGGTAAACGTAAAAAGCATAAGTAATCATGTCAAGCATTTCGTTTTAAGTGGTCCAGTTAAATTCAGCAGGCTATAAGCGACACATCGTATTTTCTTGCAAATCTTCCCCAAACAAGAAAGCCACAACACTCCCGTAGCAAAGACAGCATATCCATCTGTCAGCTCTGTCGGAGATTCGAGTTATATGAAGAAAACGCAGCGGTTTATAAAGCAGCAATACACCAATCATAAATCAAAGTGTTGAATTTTTGGACGGGGCTATTATCTACATGTCTAATACACTGTAAGTTAGCTACGTTAGCTTGTTGTGCTAGCTAGCCAAACTGAGAGAGACAATCCATTAGAGGAACAACAGTTTTCCTATGAAATAAACCGGGGCTTTCAGTTTTGTTTTTGTCTCATTTGTCTTGAATATATGATAATGCTGTATAAATGAAGTGCAGGTTCTCTTAATGCAAAAAACAAAACTTCAGTTTTTTTTTTTTGTGACATCTAATTGACATTTGCGTTAAGGCAGCTTTCATCTAAAACTATATTAAAGATTGTTGCTAATTACTGTGTTTTGTATTAGTTATGCATCTAGTTTTTGTTACTAATATTAAATAATGTTAATATATCATGTTGTACAGTACAGACTTATATTGGGTACAAATGGGTAAGGTAAACAAATCAATGAAGGCAAAAAAAGGACCAGCTAGATGTAACCAAGTTTTACATGAAATAAATTTGAACTAATTATCCAAATATCAATTTAATGTCAAATTAACTGTTATAAACTTGTTCTAGATCTAACATTATATAAAAACCGTGGTTATTCAGTAAATTTCAAATAATTCTGACAGACCAAATCAGTTGGATGTTATGCCCCCCCCCTCATTTGCCTGCGGGTTGGCATTGACACGTGCAATTTATAAATAAATAATCTGAGCATGCAAGCAGAATAGCATTTGTGAGACTTGCTCAGCCTCACTGTCGTGTTTAAGCAAATATGGTTTAAGATATGCTTGCTACTTGCTTGTAGTAATTCGCTAGAAACAGTTTAATGCCAACAACTATTACTATTATATCGGTTTAATGCTTATTATTACCATTAAAGGAACGTTTCCTGGAAAAATTTACATTTTATAATTAGGGTTTAGAGTAACTATTAATTTTTTTTTGTCTTATTAACATTTAAAAAAAAAAAATTTTGTGTTGGATAAAAGAACATTTTAAGTGAACTTTCTGTATTGGAATCAGGGTTCAACGCTAAAGATTTTTTCTACTGGCCCAATTGGTTCCAATATTAGTTTAGATTTTTTCTTGCCCTTCCAAAATTTTCACTGGCTCAACCAAAAAAAGAGTTAATAGGTATTTAATAGTGACATATTTAAAATAAAGTGTCAAAAAATGTCTGTGAATTGCTAATTTTAATATCTTTTGAAAAAGTTAATAAATGTATAATGAGTGAAATTCAAAGTGTTATGCAAACAAAAAGCAGTAAGGAAAATGTGCAGCTATTTAGTTGCAGTTCTAAATTAAACGTGGTTGACTTACCATACTGACGGCAAACTGCAAAACATTGCTTCATTGTTTTCCATTTTGTTCCATGTTGTAGTCACTTAAATGTCTGCTTCTAAGACGTTAGAAAGAGGTTTTCTTTCGGCTTCATAATTTGATGTTGCTGCTATGCTACAGTGTGTTCGCTGTAATGGTTATTAACAGGTTATGGAAAAAACAACATGCTCACTTTATCCAATCAGATATGAGGAACTAAAAGCAATATGGTGTTTACAACATCACAGAGAAGGTAGCATGTTTCCTAATTCTAAGACAGTGTTTGGACACAACTGACAAATAGCTGCAGGCAAATGAAACTTTAATGATAAGGCTGCACTGGCCCAATCAGGCCAGTAACTATCTGCCTACTGTCCCGAGCATCTCGCACACTGGCCCCGGGCCATCAGGCACTTCTTATTGTTGAGCCCTGGTTATACTGATAATGAAAAACATGATTGATTTGTTTTTTGTCTTTTACAGATTTTTTTTTCAATGATTGATGTCACCAAACTTGAGTTCAAAGGATGAACAGGGGCCGGGGAGTGAGGAAAAGAAATGCACCAGAAAAAGCAAGCATCCTCGAAACCTGTGATGAGGAGATTCGTGCAGAAGTTGCCCAGCTCTTCAACAAGGTCAGAAGTTATGTTCCACCTGAAGGGGAGAAATGGACGTTGCCTGACCCAAACGTGGTGCTCTGCGATCCTCACGTGAGTCACCCACGTTTGCAGGCTCTGAAACATTCTCTAAATGAAGTCAAGAATCAGCTCAGCGATAAAGATCTGTCAGTATGGCACCAGCACACTTGTTTCACCAACCGAGCAGGCACTGTTACCTCCCACCTTCGCTCTACGACCAATGCAGAGCTCTGCACTCAGGCTTGGGCCAAGTTCTATGAGATCTTAGGCACTTTTCAACTTCTGCCTGACAGCGCATTGAAGACTGGTGAGTTGAACTCTATACACCTGTGCGAAGCTCCTGGTGCCTTCATATCAGCTCTGAATCACTTCCTCAAGACCAGCGGCCTGCACTGCGACTGGAACTGGATTGCCAACACTCTAAATCCATACTACGAAGCCAACGGACGTGGTTGCACTATTACCGATGACAGACTCATCGTACACACTCTGCCTTGGTGGTTCTTCGGATCCGACAACACAGGTGACATAATGCTTCAGAAGCATCTGCTGGAACTGCCGAGATTTGTGAGCAACATGCGCAGTGTTGATTTGGTTACAGCAGATGGAAGCTTTGACTGTCAGGGAGACCCAGGGGAGCAGGAAAGATTAGTTGCTCCGCTACAACATTGCGAAGCCATTTGTGCGCTGCTGCTGTTAGGAACTGGAGGCTCATTTGTCCTAAAGATGTTCACACTTTTCGAACACTCATCTGTCTGCCTGCTGTATCTCCTCGCCTGCTGCTTTCGCTCCGTGAACATCTTCAAGCCAGGCACCAGCAAGTCTGGAAACTCAGAATTGTATATAGTGTGCTTGGACTATCAGGCCAAAGAACAAATTCGGCCATTGCTCTCAAAGTTAATCCGTAATTATGGACCAGACTTGGCATCCACAGCGTCGCTCTTTCCCCGTCGCTGCATTCCAGACTCCTTTTTAAGTCAGCATGAAGAGATATGCACTTTTTTCCAAGCATTGCAAGTCAACACTATTCAGGAGAACCTCAGGCTTTTCGTATGCATGAGCACAGAGCAGCGCAGGCGATTGGAGCAGCTCAGGGAATACGCTGCAGAGTTTTATACTAAACGGTTCAGTGTTCAATACCTCCCTCGGAAAAGCTGGGTTTGTAGAGGCGGCGTGGTTAGATGGGTAAAAGTTTGTGAGCGGAAGCAAATGGGCTCTTTAAATCAGCGCAAGGAGATGGAGCTTCAGGGATGGAAGCAGCGTCTTGCCCAAGGAAATTATGGGCCGTTCATAGAGAAGCATCTTGTTGCAGCAGAAGGATGTGAGGTTGTACTCAATGGCCCATTGGACGAGTGCGATTTGGGAGCCTGGTTTGCCCTTGAGGGAGCTGCCCTACCGAAAGTCTGCAGTTCCACCTTCTGTGATCAAGAAATGCTAGACTTTCTGAATGAAGCTCTGGAAGGGAACCTGCGGGTCAAAACAGTGAACTGGTCCCTCAAAGCCTTGCCAACATGCAGCTCCTGCAGCTCTGACTCCCCTGTAAGCATCTTATCTGAGATATGCAGTCATCCGGATGTGACATCTTGTTTGGTGCTGGGTAGCCAGTCTTGGTGTGACGACAAACTAACAGGCGTTCGAATCCAGCCTGAGTTTTTGCAAGGACCCTCTTATTGTGGGGTGCAGAACGTCACAATGCATGATGGACAACCAGACTATCAACTCGAGCTTCTGAATGCTGTCCTGTTCGCTCTACAGAAGCAGGATCAGGGCTCAACCCTGGTGATTCCCTTAAGTTCTGCGTTGACACGCTTCACCTCTGGACTGGTTTTCACACTCCACCTGTGCTTCCGTTACATCACATTCCGATGCTTGTCTGGTTGGCCTCCCGCTGCTCTGGTTTGCATGGGTTTCTCTCCACCTTCAGCCTTACCCAGCCTTCTGGACTTTCTCCAGAATGTAATGGAGAAGATGAAGAAAGTTAAACTGGGAAGGCAGGTTCTGCAGTTTGTGCCTTTAGAGGAACTTCTCAGAGGGGAATTACCTCACTTCTTGTCTTCCTTCAATACAGCTGTGATCCGCCAGCAGCTGCATATGCTAATACAGCTTGATCAGAGCACATAATGCTAGCCCAGCATGGCTTTATCCTCTGGAAGAACTTATCATTTCGAGTATATTCATCATAATCATGCCTCAGTTTGCTTAGATTGAAGACATAGCCTCGGTTGTGCTAGTGCCACGGTGGACATTTAGGTTGTATTGGAACACAGATTTCCCCCATTTTAGATATTTACACTGGGGAGGATCTCTTTCTTTAACTTTGAATGTGCTGCATATGACTGGGATTTTCTTTATAGATATATTTATGTAAGAGCATGTGCAGTTCAACATTTTTTATTCTAATATTTATATTTGTTGCCTAGGGCTTTTTTATACACTAAAGTTCTTGAGTTGACTCAAATTGTCTGTCCTGCCTGATTTATTAAAACCCTTTCTTTATGGGCATATAAAGTGTTTTCATCACAATATGTAGATGTTGTCTTAAATAACAACTAATTGAAGCTGTTGTGATGTGGGATAGTTCACCCAAAAAATTTAATTTACTCATTAAGCCACCCTCAAGTGGTTCCAAACCTTTATGGGTTCCCTTTTTCTGTTGACGGTGTATCCGCCGGGACTTAAAATGTCTTAAATTTCAAAAACAAAATTTTAGGCCTTAAAAATTACTTTTAAATTTAAATTTGCCTTAAATTTTGCCTTATTGCCTTAAATTTACTGAAATATTGTGTTGTATGTCTTATATCATTTTAAACAGGACTTAATTTTCCTCTGTCTAAGTGCAGCTATATCTAATCGGGCCGACATCCATCCAATCACCAACAATCCATCTTAATAAAATTAGGGAAGGAAAACTAAAAACAATTACACAATTCCTCATGATAATAACAGAGCAGTATATCGCTTTATGTTATCTTCCATTCATACATAAAACTATTACAAAAGTAAGGGGGAGACATAATATTTATACATAGCCATGAAACTTTATATAGGTTATAGGTTTCCAACATTTTTTAAAATAACTTTTGTTGTTCAACAGAAGGAACTCAAACAAGGTAGTGATAAATGAAGGTTGAATAAATGATGACAGAATTCTCAATTTTGAGTGAACTATCCCTTTAAATGTATATAACTGTGTACTTTATTTATTAAAAACTTTAGTCATTTACCATTGTAGAAAATCATTTTCCAACAAAAGTGCTTTTTAGGAGTCTACACTGTTAAAAATATCTGTTAATCTGTTAATTAACTCTACAGTTTAACAAAGTGACTTATTGACATTTTAGTAGTTTGAAATAATGTATAGAGAAATAAGTCTGTACAATAACAGAAAATGTACTGGCAGTTTATTACAAGGTTTTTATACCATAATATACAACAGCAACCCAGACAACAGATCCCTTTAAACTATTACAAATATTAAAGGTGCTGTATGTATGCTTTTGACACTTCTAAAGCATAAAAATACCTTAATATGTTTGCAGCTATTTAAGAAACATGACAAGTGAACATTCTTGTTTATCTGAAAAACAATGCTGAAGTCAGTAGTTTTGCTTTAAAAATGTGTGTTCTATGCCGGAAAGCTGCCTTTTGGTTCTTTTAACCCGCCTAATACCAGTTTAGCCAATTATATTTTAGCACCCTGGGTTGCCTTGGTGAAAAACAGAATGTTTCATTAATTGATTCATTAATTAATTCATTCATTCAGAAATGTTCTCAAAGCATGCGCTCATGACCAAAATGCAACCTCTGGTGGACAGTAGTAGACTCTAAAATAAGACGCAGATTCAGAGTTCCACATGAGGTTTTTAATTAGCAAATAATATAAATATTACCAGTGTAAACAGGTGAGCAGGTTACATTGTAACCTCGTGTCCTAACAATGTGCTACCTGAAGAGATTTGCAGTGATAAACAATTTGGCTGTTTGCACTAGACGAAACACGACAGAAATGTAAATACAGCCATTCAGAAGCACAGAATATGCACTCACTCAAGAAATAGTAAGGTTTAAATCTAATTAATACATGTTAAACTTCTTTAACATTATTAAATGTACATGCTGAATATGTGTTGGTTTTGAGTCACAGTTCTAAAGTATAATTTCAAACGGTTTATTTAATCTTTAAGATCTGAGCCTAAGGTAAACTGTCTGCTCTGGCTGCATAATGGCATTTAAATTCACATTATTTGCATTTAACACTGAATAAAGCACATGAGGTGTATCTGAGGAGATCAGTTTATCATGTTGCAAAAAAAAAAAAAAGACATTTCTAAAATATCAATTTGAGGAGTTCGTTAGAACAGAAACTCCTTTTAATATGTAGAATATTCCTTCTATCGTGTGCTTTGTATCGTTGCTTTTATTTAGAACACGGTTTAAATCAGCCTTGTTGGTCCTTAATCTGGCAACCTGTGCTTGCGTTTGTTTTTTTTCCAGGAATGCAATACCTAGTTCAACCACTGGGTGTCAAACTTACATACTGCACATTCAACAAAATTAACTTTTCCCAACTTTTCAAGGTTTAAAGCTGTTTGAAGGAAGATCAAGGTCCCATAATGCAACTCAAAAGCATAAATATGGCAGAAAATAAAACATGAATCCCAAATATTGAGGGTATGATTACACTTTACAATAAGGTTTTGCTTGTTAGCATCAGATCTAGCACAGTACTATACATATTTACTCATTTTAACCTCATACTTGTACAACATTTATTTCTTTACATAAAACATTTGTTAGATTATAGTATGGTCCGAAATTAATATCCTATACTTGTTTCCAAGTGTTAATTGGTGTATATCTGGCCAACAAAATTCAGCTTGGTATGCCTTTTCTCTGCTTTTTCTTAATTAAACATTGTGCTATGTTCACCACTCCAAGTAAAAAGGGGGTTTTTACGTAACAGCTGAGTCTGAGCCAAGGGCTATGTTATCTGAGTTATACATTTTTTATGTTGGCAGATGTGATTCCGGTTGAGTGATCCAACAAAAGACTGCCACATCTGCCATATTTTCTGACCAGCATGTGTTTATGGAAATGTCCACGAATATGCGAAGAAGAAGCACCGTCTTGTGTCTCATGAAGGTAACTGTTTTTGCACGTGTCTGACAAGTGCTTCTGTGAAAGTTCTCTTAACGCGGCCACTCAGGGAATATGTTGTCTGCTCGTTTGTTTGATGTGAGGGACTTGGTTCTTATTAACCGTGATTATTTTTAGCACAGGGTGGATTTCTGCACAGCAAGAGTGAGGGTTGTGTTCTCGCATCTGCATTTGATCAGTAGATTTACACTAATCTCCCAACATATTCAGCAGTTTCCTCCCTTTTCCATGTACACACAAATAGTGGAAGACAGCAGACGTTCTAGTTTATAGACATTAAACTTCTGAGCAGCAACTTGATGTCTAAAGACTGACAATGGTTTAACTAGCAATTTAAAAATAGGAAATGCCAAGCCTATAGCCTTACAAACACAATGCCACAGTAGACAGCTAACCGAAAACTGTAAATACAAGTCTTCTAAGCTTAGTAAAGTCATGGCCTGTCATGCAAATCCTTGTTTCTTATTATGTTTTGTTCACTTCAGATATACCTGATATGATAAGCTTTAGAAGTAGTGGCAGGGAAAAAAGTAAACAAACTATAAAATTGTATTTTGTGTAGCAATCTTTACTTGAAAAACTGCTGCAAAATATATATATTTTAATTTATTTTATTGCTAACACACAATATTTTAAATAATTTAGCGCAATTTCCCAAACCATTCGTTTCATTCTCACAATACAAATTCCCCTGAGAAACCCTGACCTGCTTACTCACACGTTATCATTAGCTCACATTTTTTCCTGCAGGTCTACTAAAAGCCTTGTTCTATCTCAGAAATGTTTACTCCAACGGCACCATACCCTTCTCTCATCCCCCATTTTGCACTACTATTTATCATCTACATTTACATAGTATATCTTGTATATATCTCCCGTTCTACCTTAGAACTGTTTACTCCACCTCACCCTACCCCCCCCGTCTCATCTCCTATTTTGCACTGTTTATCGTCTAGTTGTTTCTACTGTAACTTGTTTAGTGTGATTTATACTGATAGGATATACTTGTATGTGTGCACAGAGTAATGAGATGCACTTAATCTCATCGCACATGTGTTTAATTTGCAATTGGTGTACAGTGGCAATAAAAGGCTTCTATTCTATTTTAAAAACAGCCCTCATTTTGCTCAGGGTTAATATGTTCTCATTCACAAAACACAATACAGTTCAATCAGAATTTCAGGAAAATTTAAATATGATCACAGAGGTTTGTGCATTGGAAAATGCACTGGAGAAAGAATCATTTACAGGGGTTTTTATGCTACACAATTACATTACACAATAAGACTACACACTAGAAGAGTGCTTAGTAAGGTATAAAGTCAGAAATTGTTATATTGGGATGACATTTGGCTGAAAGTGCAGAAAATGCTACATTTATCAATTTACAGACTGTATATAGACTTATTATTTTTTACTGCATAGTAATTAACTATGATTTGTGTCCTCACACTCAGTTGCAATGACTCAGATAATTTAGTAACTTAATAAAGTCATCTGGAATGGCAAAGAAAACGGGACTCCCAGAGTTCATCAAGATTCTTGGGATTCATCTTCAATGCCTCCTCCATCTTATCCCAGACATGCTCAATAATGTTCATATCTTGTGACTGGGCTGGCCAATCCTGGAGCACCTTGACCTTCTTTGCTTTCAGGAACTTTGTTGTGGAGGCTGAAGCATGAGAAGGAGCGCTATCCTGCTGAAGAATTTGCCCTCTACTGTAGTTTGTAATGTAATGGGCAGCACAAATGTCTTGATAGCTCAGGCTATTGATGTTGCCATCCACTCTGCAGATCTCTCGCACTCCCTCAAACTGAATGTAACCCCAAACCATGATTTTTCCTTCACCAAAATTGACCAATTTCTGTTAGAATCTTGGGTCCATGTGGGTTCCAATAGGTCTTCTGCTCTATTTGTGATGATTGGGATGCCGTTCAACAGATGATTCATCAGAAAAATCTACCTTCTGCCACTTTTCCAAATGATCAACTAAAAGTCAATTTGTTGCTTTTACAACTGGGATCGACGACAAGATGTTTGTCTGTAATAGGCTTCCAAAATCTCAGTCTTGTATTTGATAGTATTTCACTTTTTTCAAAATACTCAGTTTCTCAATATTTTTAAGTGTTTTGAATTTTAATAGTTTAGGAAAGTAGGTTTTGTGGATTATCTGATGACAAATATTGATGCTTACAAAGGAAAATATATATATTTTTTGACAAAAATATTCTGTTATGACAGTTTGAGATTCTGTCTTTTGTGTTAGCATTCAAGAGAAACTAATGTTAAAACAACAATCATGATTCAACTGATTCCCTGTTTTGTTAGCCTGACTAAAACGAAC